TGGTAGAGGGGACACGGGTGCAAGTCACTCGGGAGAGTCTGGTTTGGACCTGGGCTCCCCCCAAGGCCTCCCACATGTAGAGGTGGGGCTGGTGGAGGTGGATCCCATGGTGGACGAGCCACAGCTGGCCTGCTGCTAGGAGACAGGTCTGGCAGGAAGAGGCAAGTCACCAGCGATGTGGCAGGGACGGACCTCTCTGTGTCCCTGGATCTGCCCTCAGTCTACCTCCTGGCTGACGCAAGGCAAGCAGCATCTCCTTCACCATTCCCCTCCCGCCATGCGGCTGCTTCTCGGGAGTCAACAGAGCATCGGCTGCAGCAGGAGACAAGTGAGCCTCGCTTCCTTTAGGGTTCAGTGTGGCATTTTGTGGCAGCCATCAGGAAAGTCCCTACGACAAGGAGTGTCTGAATGCCCACAGGTCCGGGTTATACAGCATCTTAACAAAGCGGTGGGAGGAGGGGCCAGGCGTGGCTGGGAACTACAGGCTGAGGACCCCTCTACCCGAGGCCAGTCCTAAGACCCCCAGGTTGATATGGGAAAGAAAGCTAAAACAGCACCATTTTGTGTGGAGGACCACCTGAGCAGCCCTCCGTGAAAGAAGAGCGGCTGTCTCCATTTTGACTGAGCCTGACCCGATTTCCTCGTATTGTTCTGTACAGAGCTGGCCAGGACTTCTGTTTATCCTTCAGTCGGCCTTAAGCAGTGTAATTGGTCTAGCTGAGGTGCTGGCGATAATCTCTGAAGGTGGCGTGCGTGTTTCCCTGGTAACCTACACCTGCTGCTCTTTAGTGTGAGCAGGGTTGAGATAGAAATGTACAGCCAGTGCTCCGTGCCGCCATCTGGGATCAAGCCCCGAGACAGAGGCTGTGACCTCCTGGGGCTTGAAGGACTACATCAGAGCTGAAGCAGCAGACACCCAAAACATTGGATGCTGTCTCTGTGGCATAATATTATAATGCAGATTACTCTCTCTGCGTATCCTCTCTGCATATGGCAGAGGCAAATGCAGGCCACCCACCTAGCTCAGCTCACAGAGTCACCTACTTCCCACAGTTCTCAGTCAATCCTCAAGCCACTCCTCCACTGAATAAAACCGGGTGAGGCCCTGGGTCGCTCTCTTGGTCCAGGAAAGCCGTCTTCGTGGCTGGACTTAGAGCCCCTCGACTCCCCAGTGATTGAAAATATAATTTAGTGTCTTTATTTTCGCCGTGGGTTACATTGGAAGTGGTAGATTGGAATCAACTTGATGGAATTCCAATAATGTAACTTTGGGATTACAAATATTAGCTTCTGGGCTGGTGAGATGGCTCAGTGGTCTAAGGCACCTACTTGGAACAAGCTTGGCAAAGCACAGGGACCGCGGTTCAATCCCCCAGCACCACATGCCAGCCAGCCCCGCCCCCTGGTGGGCTGAGCTGGCCACACACACACACACACACAATAAATAAATGTTAAAAAATAAATAAAGATGAAGTTTCTCTTTCCTTAAGTTTGCCTCTTGTAAATGTTGCCCTCGCTGCCTAAGCAGACTCCACCCCGCGCTTTGTCGTGAGACCACTCGCTCCCCACCTAAAACTCCAAGCACTTCTGTTCCTGTCACCCGCTAAGCCCATGCTCGGAGTATTTCTGTCGCTGCGCTAACTCGTATCGGCGCCACCCCCACTCGGGACCTGGACTGTGGCTGCTCTCTCCTCCTGCCCTTTCGGAGCTGCTGCTCAGTCCCGAACTGGGCGCCCACCGCCGGCCCCCAGCGAACTTGCTTGTCTCTGCCTCGGCCTCCACGGGTGACTCCATTACAAGTGCGTTTGCTGCGGCAAGGTGAGAGCTGCTGCGCACGCCGCGGGAGGAAGGGAGCACCTGTAACCCCAGGGGAGGGGAGTCTGCAGCACAGGCCACGCTGTTTCCCTGGAGGGCAGCCCTTGCTCCTGACCCTGGCCTGTCACCGCCCTCTGCAAACTGAACACCGTTCTGGCCTGGCCGAGTCCTCTGGGCCCCACTCCTCCCGAAGGCGCCTATGTATATACAACTTCCACGGAAACAATGTGTCTGCCAGCTTATTCCACCGAGCCATCTCCCGGCCCCGGGGTTTATAATTTATTTATTGGCCCTTCTCCCCTTTTGTGATACCAGGAATCAAAACCAGGGCCTTGCAATTGCCAGGCAGGTACAGCACTGCTGAGCTACATCCCAACTGCTACTTGTGTGTTTTTAATTTTACATTGTAGAGATGCAGGAAAGAACCCAGCAGTGGAGGATGGGTGTTCTGTTTCCATCCTGGAGTGGCAGGAAACTTCCTTAGAGCAAGCTTCAAAGTAACTGTCTTTTCAAAAGGCTCTGCTTAATTATTTTTTGGTACTGGGGATTGAACTCAGGACTTTGAACTTGCCAGGCAGGCACTTATGCCATTGAGCTATCTCCCTGGGCTGACTCTGCTTAACAGATTTTTTGTGCCAGGTGTTGTGGTGCATACCTGTGGTCCTTGCACTCTGGGAAGCTGAGGCAGGAGGATTAATAGTTCAAGCCCAGCCTCAGCAACTTAACAAGGCCCTGTCTCAAAATAAAATATAAAAAAAGACCGGGGATGTAGCTCAGCGCAAAGGTCCTCAGTTCAATCCCCAGTTCTGCAAAACCACAACAGACATCTGAAAGACAGTGAAGAATCTTGCCTGGATCCCAATTAAGATGTAGCAAACATTAAACAAGTAACAAACAGGCTTAGGGCCTGGGAGATGGCTCAGTAGAATAGGCACTTGCCTGGCAAGCATAAGGGTCTGAGTTCAATCCCTGGTTCCAAAAAAAAAAAAAAAAGCCTTGAGTTATTATACAATCCCAGCACTTATTATTATTTTCAATAGGGGTAAGACAATGGAGTTTGTAATGAAAAACTTTTTTAATAATTTTTAATAAATTTTATTAAAAGTATAGTTTGGGAAAACAATTTTAACCTTTATTGTTGTTACATTACATACATGATAAAATTAAATTACAAGGCATATAACTGAACAATAAAATTCTTTATACAAAGTATATTTAGATACCTAAATATAATCTGGTTTTGAAAATGAAATCATGTATATAGTTGTATTCCTACGTGTGTTGAATCCAAAGCTATACGAGACTCCTGAAGGGGCAAATCCAGGTACCAACAAAGACACTTTGCTGAATTCCCATGTTTTACCGAGCATCAAAAACCACCAATCTTTTAGTTCTTTTCTTGTACATTATTCTGTATCCACATACTCTATATCTGATTGGATCCCTGGATTTAATTTCATTTTCTGTGTGACATTCTCCACAGATATATATCATTGGCTGCTGCTTTGGGGGTTGAACGTCCTGCTGAGTGTCCATGGTCAGTGTCTGATCTGGGCAACACCGAAGAGGTTCCCACTCTGGCGTTTTTAAACAGAACCTCGCTAGACGCTGTCTCGACCAACCGAAAAAAATTCTTTTTTTTTTTTTTTTTATTGTACCATTCAGATTTTATTTACTCTTTCAGGTTCTCACATAGCAAGACAATATGATGTTTGCACATGAGGCTCCCTTGCGGAAAAAAATTTTTGAGATATATATTTAACTCTGTAGGAGTAAAATAATATGATATCTGATATTTTCTTTAAAATGCTTAAACAAAGAAAATGATAACGCAGATCTCACAAAAATCTTGCTATGTGTTAAATCTGAGTACATGGAAGTTTATTGTTTTGCTTCTTTCCTTCTTCACTGAGAGAGGGTCTCATTCTGCAGTTCAGGCTACAGAACTCACTACATAGCCAGGCTGATCTCAAACTCACGGTGATCCTCCTGCCTCAGCCTCCCGAGTGCTGGGATTACAGGTATGTGCCACCATGCTCAGCATTGTTCTGGATTTCTGATTAGTTTGAAATCTTCATAAAACATTTTAAGTGATTAGAAATATAAGTTACATTCCTTCCCTGCTCAAAACTTGCACAAGTACAGAAGTAATGCTCAGTTGCCTGCCTCTCCTCCCGCCAGGCCCGGCCACACCCTGACAGTGACCAACCAAGCAGGGCTGTGCCCTGCGGCTCCTCCTGCCCAGCCCCCTCCTCCCTCGTGTCCTTGTGGCTTGTCCTCTCGTCTTCTGTGGGTCTCTGCCCCAAGTCTCCTTGTCAACCCTAGGGCTCTGGGCACTGTGCTCTGAAGTCAGGCTCGTTGGCATTTGAGAAAAGAGCAGACACAGAGAGGGCATCCGGGCTGCCATGATGAGGTGTCATGGGTGGCACAGTGGGCACACAGAGCCCCCTCTGAGGCATGCCAGCCAAGCCTCCTCAGCGGCCGAGCCTTGGGTAAGTTTTTTTTCTCTAAACTAAAGCCTCAGTATTCAGGTTTCGTTGCAGTGTTGGCATTTTGCAATAAATGACGGGGCTTGGGCTGCAGCTCGGCGCTCTGCCTCTAAAAGGCCATCACCACTCTAGGAAGTCACTCTGACCTAGAAGGTCGCTCTGACCTCTTCCTGTCCTTCTTCTCTGAAGTGGCTCCTAAGACTCCGTAGCATCCACACCCGCAAGGCTGAGTGACTCAGGCCTGTAACCCAGCTACTAGGAGGCTGAGGCAGGAGCACGGTGAGGAGGAGGCCATCCTGGGGAGCTCCGTGAGGGCTTGCCTCAAAATTAATTTATTTTGATTTATTTTACTTTATTTGGTCTTTTTGAGACAGGATCTCAGCATGCAGTTCAGGCTGGCCTTACTTTGTACCCCAGGCTGGTCTCAAACTTGAATCAATCCTCCTGCTTTAGTCTCCCAAGTTCTGGGATCTCACCGTGCCAGGCCATGTCTGTCTGTCTGTCTGTCTGTCTGTCTCTCTCTCTCTCTCTCTCTCTCTCTCTCTCTCTCTCTCTCTCTCGCAACTCTCTTTATTTCTGATCATTCTTTTTATATCCATAGAGACATTCATCTCAAGCCTCAAGTGACATCTAACTACTCAGATTTCTAGTACAGATACTGCCTAGCACCCAACTACACAAAGGTCACTTCTGCTGTCATGTCGGCGATTCTCCATGCTTGCTGCCTGCTAGGAAACCTCCGACTGCCTCAGCAGCACTGAACTGAGGCTCTGTTCCTGGAGGTATAAGGAAACAGGATAGATGTGCTCAACTAGATGGGGATACAGGCAGGGCATGGATTAGGGTGCAGGCTATAGAACTTCCGACTGCAACAGATTCTTGGTGAATACAAAACCACACTGTGCTGGGATGCTTTAGTGGCCTCGTCATCCTCCTAAGCGGGAATTCTCTCTGGCTCTGTATGTGACGGAGGACACCTTCCCTGGGAATATGAACCTCCTGAGGAGGAGAGGACAGCTCCGGGGTGAAGTTGCTCAGCCTGGCAGTGTGGCTCAGCAGGTTCTATGGCCATGAAATTGCTTATGAAGCAGAAGGTCGTGAGCTGGGAGCGGCAGCGCAGGGAAGGCAGAAAGGCGCCGACCTGTGCACCAGTGATCCCGCTGTTTTCCAAACACAGGACGATCAGCGTGGTGGAAATATTATCCAGCAGAACTCGGAGAGGCTCAGGGCTGAAATCAGTCAGGCCGCTACAACTCACATGCAAGCGCTTCAGCTGTTTTGTCTGCGCAGAGCGAGGCAGCCGGTACGAGTCAGAGGGACAGAGCCGGCAGTGAGTTACTGAGACAGTCTCTGAGGGGGACGTCAGGCACCTCCTGTGTGGAATCAAACTTGAGCATTTTTATGAAGTCAGATTCCACTGGAAAGTCCACGTTTGTAACACATAGGATCTTACGTTCCAGCTGCACCAGATCTTTCCTCCTGGATCCACTTGAAGAGGTAGGATGCCACTGGACACGGACATTCATGACTGATCCGCAGATCTGAAAGGACACTGAGGGCCTTTTCATCTGGTTCCCTTGTCCCAGTTTTCTCTATTTTTGTCCTCTTCATGGCTCCTGAGGAGCAGGCTTCCAGCTCATTTCTAGCCCAGACTCTCCAGAAGTTCTGGGGCGTGTCACGCATACCCAGCACTTGCAGTTTCAACCTCCTGGAGCAAACCTTCTGGCTCAGCAGCGCATCGAGCTCATCCAGCCAGCTTGTAACATCCTTCCCTTTAGGAGGAAAGCATTCTGCTTAGGGTGCAAAGACTCTTGTTCCCTCAGACTCCTGAGCGCTCCCAGTGGCAGGGACGGAAATGGCCCAGACAGCACCATGGCCTTCATGACCTCAGCACGTCCTCTGAGGAAGGCCTCCATGAACACTGGTGGGAAGACCTCGCCTGGCAAAGCTTTCGTGGCCTCTATGGCCAGCTCCTCATCCCTCACCAAGCTCTCAATTGCCAGTTCAAGTAGTACACGGGGTGACTTGGTGCTCATCCTGGTGAGTATGGAAGGCTGGGATGCTGGAAGGCACAGGGCTGGATGTGGTGGCCGGGTGCTCAGCCTCTCAGGAAAATGGCAGCAAATCCAAGCAGGGCTTTTATTGACTTTCGG